GCACCTAACTGATGCAACCTTAACTTGAGCTCAAGAACTTCTTTCTCTGCTTGTAATCTAGCGACTGCCTCTGCCTCGGCTTCTTTCGCGGCATTTCGTTCAGCCAGACGAGCGTCACGTGCCTCTTTTTCGCGTGCGCGTTCTTGGTCCATCCATTCTTTTAGTGCTGATCCACTTAACCCCAATTCCTTTCCGATCGCCGTCAGCTTATCTGCCTCCATCATCGACCGTCACACACGCATATGCGATGTGATACTCTCCTTAGATGTAACAAGAGTAGTCCTGTCTCGCGGACGCCAGATATGTCGTGTGTTAGGTTCGTCACATAGCAAGGCGTGTGACGCGAGGAAGATGGAGACAGTGAGGAAAACAAACGGGAGTTATATTGGATGAACAAAAAAAAACTATTGCGCGTACAGTACTGTAAGTCGTACACGCGCGTGGTTCACACACAAAAGAAAAGAGTAACCAGTCTCACAGTCTGTGCCGTAGCCCGATGCCTTGAAGTGGGACCCGTTGCGTGCTCGGATGCAGTCGTCGCTTGGGTGCCAGGTCAGCATACCACTGTCTATATCACCAGGTCTAGGCGTAGCCGCACACTGTCAGCGACGTCGGCTCGGTAGACGTGGTCAGCAGCTCCGGTCTTTCGAGGGCGCTCGCCGTACCGGAGATGTCCACAGGACCACTCACCGAGAACTCGTGCTGGCCACGCCGACACGCCGTGCCCCGAGGACGTCAATGGCTCGAGGACAGGAACCCGGCCTTTCGAACCTCGCGCGTAGTTGAGGGTTCGCCCTAGGCTCCCTTGCGTCGTCTTGCCGGCGTCCGAACGGCTTCGTTCTCCACAAGCGTCTCCTCTTAATTTTTTTAATGGGCGCGCAGCAATGCCCCTTCATTCTTCTCATCTTCTAAATGATGTGGTGCTGTCATCTGCTAGGCTCGCATTTTTAAGGTACTACATCACACTGGGCAACCGTTAGTGCTCACAGTTACACCTCGCCGGACGAACGGTTGATCCACTCGAATACTCCACTCAGATAAATTTTTTATGCTCGATTCAAACATTTTTTAAAAGTTATTTTCTACCAGGCTTTATACTTTTTTCGCCTGTTCTTCTGCGCAGTGAGCAACAAATAGCGCAGAAAAGAACACGCGAAAAAGTAGTTAGCTACCTATGTGTAATTGCTTTCGCAGCCACGGCAACTAAAGACAAAAGTCCAACCTCGAAATCTTTTATTTGCCCACCTACACATGAAGTTTCTCCATTCTTTTAAGTGAATTCCTCGTGAAGCATACAAGTCCAGTCTCATTCTTGTTCACTCCTTGTGAAGCTCCTCCAACGGAAGCGATCGATGACAAACATTGCAGACGCCACCACACGCAGCCTTCTGCCTGTTGTGTTCGCATGGCTGTACGTTCAATAAGACTGTAAAAATAGATAGACACAAGTGCGAGAAGATAAAGATGCACGCATATGACAAGTACCTGCAAGTTAATATGAAAACATGCGTGTAAAATATGACACACAAATAACTTTACCTTCGTATTTCGTACATTCCTTCTGAAGCTGCTCTTACGAAAGAGATGGATGGATGACAGGCATCGCAGATGCCAGCGCACACAGCCTTCAGCACGGTGTGTGCACACGGCTGCACAATAAGTATGTGAAATAGTGACTCACACGTGACAGAGAATGAATACGAATCCATATGAGAAATACGTGCAAGATGAAATAAAAACAGACGTGATATATGACATGCTAATAATTGCACCGTGATGTCACACATCGTCAAAGACTCATTTAGATCCCCGTAGCGCAACAGCTTAGGAGCGGCGGCCGCAGCCACACCTCTGCGAACCACCGTGCCGCCAGCATATCAGCGCGTTCTAAGCGAGCGACGTCGTTCAGCTCGAGCAAGCGAACGCGAGACCAAACAAGGCGTTGTACGCGGAGTGTCTTCTGCCAGCGAACTTATAACAGGAGAGCGAGCGTACGCTTGGCCGCTGCTACGAAGACCGCCGAGCTGGTTTGGAGCTAGCGCCAAAGAAATCGACGGTAATGCGGCCCTTTTCCACAAGCTGAAGCGAGTGCAGCGCGCAAACGTGAGTGCCCCGCCGCGGCCTATGGACGGCGCCGAGCTGCTTGCGACCGTTTGACGGGGAAGCCAACTGAATGGCCACCGATTGTCACTGAGTTCCGACGCTAGCGAAAGCCCCGCCTGCTTGTGCTCGTGCACTTACGGCACGCGAAATATACTACAACCTAGCTCGTTACGAGAAGCCGCATCATGTTTTTGACGACTCCCAACACAGCGACGAGGTCTCAGCCTGATATCGCCAGCCCGGAGCTCATCATGGCGGCAAAGACAGGGGAGCTCTCGTAGAGCGAGCGTACTGGGAGGCCGATGGCAATGGCGGCCAATTTACAGGCGGGCGGTGGCGCACTGCTCAACTCTGTCAAGTGAAGGGTGACAGTCTAGTTGAGGGGCGTTTGTGACTACGGGGGTAAGTGGTTTTCACGCGGCATGCCTTCCTCTGTGGTTGCTCCTCAATGGTCTATCCGTTCATCGCGCGTGCCTATTGGACTCCGTTACTTCTTTTTCGGGTAATTTCGCCTTAGACTGTAGGTGCTTGGAGAGCGGCCAATTCAAGACGTGAGGTTTCCTGGAAGAGAAAATTCGTGGGCTGCGTATCGACAACAGCGCTGGACTTTGAGTGAGTGATTCTTGGATGAGTATCATTGACACTTTCTTCTAAGGACTTTGAACTGAATAAGTTTTTGAACTCTTTAGTCTTTAAGGGTCCTGGCTGTTCGATGCATGTGATTGCATTGTAGCGCGTCTTGCTGTTTGTGTTCGTTGTTTCGAGTGGAGCTGATTGTACCGTGTAGTACGTTGTTGGATTTGTGTCATATCGTATTCAAGTATTGTCGAGTGTGAATATTTTGGTACCATTTGATCTCTCATATTTGGGAATATAATTTTGTTTTGTTTTTCAACTCTCGGCTCTGACTCGTTCTTTAGGCCACAGCCGGCGTCCGCTGGCGCGCCAAATAGGACCACCTCTAAATTGTCTACGCTTCGTGGTGCAGTTAGGGGGCCGATACGTTGGCTCTTGGAATTAGCCCGGCGATTGGCTCCCTAATAATGGGACATGCGGCGATTATTCTGACGTCCGCGACAGGACCTTTTTAATGCACAGTGTGTCAAAAGTAGTGAGAAAGAGCCTCGAGTTGTTGGTAGTGCAATCGGAACAGTTTTTGTGGCTTGCTCAGTGTTCTCGTTAATGAGCGTGCAGAGAGTGTTTCGATACACTGAGTTGACAGATGTCATGTGCACGCGGCTAGAATTTTATTTGAGAGGCACCATGGATCTGGAGAAGTTAGTAGCTCTTGGTGAGAAGATGAGTCTTTCTGGCCCCGAAAAATGAAAGTGTGTCAGAGAGGCACCATGGATCTGGAGAAGTTTGTAGCTCTTTGTGAGAACATGAGTCCTTCTGGCACAGAAATATGAAAGTGTGTCAGCAATGAAGAAAAAGGAAGAAAAAGAGAAGGCCAAAGAAGAAAAGGCAGCAGAGCTGAAAAAAGAAAGGTTGGCGGTTGAAAGAGCCAAAGCGGAAAAAGCAGCTGAGCTTGAGAGACAGAAGTTGGCAGCTGAGAGGCCCAAGGAAAAAAAAGCAGCTAAGTAGGAACGAGGGAGGTGTCCATTATTTCGAGTGTAGCTGATTGTACAGTGTAGTACGTTGTTTGATTGGTGTGATATCGTATTCATATATGTCGAGTTTGCATATTTGTGTATCGTTTAATCTTCAATGTTTGAGAATACACTTTTGTTTTGTTTATCAACTCTCAGCTCCGACTAGTTCATCGGGCCACAGCTGGCGTCTGCTGGCGCATCAAATAGGACCACATCTGAATTGTCCGTGCTTTCATGGTGTAGTTCGGAGGGCCGATACTTCGGCCCTCGGAATTAGCCCGGCGATTGCCTCGCTAATTAACGGGACCTGTGACAAGGTGCCATTGACATCCCTCACCCACTTCAATCGCAGACCTATGTGCACAGGGGTATAACCTGATGCTTCGCTTACCGCCATGTCATCGAATACATGTCTCTTGCGGTAAGAAAGAAAAGAGAGCAACACAAGACTCCCGCTGTGGCATTGCGGTAGAGTATTACCGGCAAGTACGAAAATTGTTCTCTGTACTGTTCTTTTAGGGCACATACTGCAGTAAGCTACCATGAATGGCGCCAGCCAGGTAGTGTGACCCAGTCAGACGAAAAAAGGGCTGGTGCAAGGGCTCGAAGCACCGAGTGCGAGGCAATCAAGAATTCGTTAAATTTGGCTGGCCAAGTGCTTCATTGTACACTATATTTCGCTGTCGCCAGTTTTTGTTTCACCTCGTAACAAACCGTAGTTCAATTAGCAAAAAAATGTTACTTAGGGAAGGCGTGCCAGGGAAAGTTACGTAAGGCAGTCACCAAATTTGCATGGTATCTTAAGCGAAGCGACGGCACATAGCAACAAAAGTTTCAAGCTGAAAGAGACGAAAAGGCTCATAAAGACGAAAAATGAGACGCCTATTAACTAACATAAGGATGCTCTAACAAGGCTCTGAGCTTTTTTATGTTTCACACGCTGCTCTTTCTTATCAACTTCGCAAACTACTGCCACCCGAACATTAAATAAACAACCGTTATACGGGTCACAAAACCTCAGTATCCTCCATTTATTTAGGTTGACTTTATCATTTTTTGTCCTATACAATTTGTCTGACTAAAACAGGCTGTCTTGAAATAAAATTTCAAAAAACACGCACTGCACATCTCTTTAGAAAACAGAGCTTAAGATATAGTGCTAACAACCATGCTGCCCTAACAATAGTGAAAAGGTCACATTAACAAAATAATTTTGATACTGCAAGATTTGCTGTTGGTTTTCGCGTTGCACCACATTTCGAGATCCCTCGGAACGAGAGAAAATATACACCAGTAAACAAGTCAGGAAATTAAATGCACTCTATTTATTCTGTGGTGGGAATAAATAAATTTTAAAGACCAATGAAAACAAATTCCTCTGTAACTTTCACTCTTCTCTTCCTTGCGAAGATTCTGAAGACGGTCATTTCTGAAAATAAGAAAGGGATTGTTATTATAGAAGCTCATTTACATTAAGAAAAAATAAAAATAGAAAGACTGGCTTTCGAGATAACTGAACTTACACTTCTTCTTGCGGAGAAGGGTAGCGTAGCTTAGAGGAGAGCCAAGACCATAGCCATAGTTGAGACCGTAGCCGAGGAGTCCATGGCCGTAATCGTAGCTGCCAGAACCGTAGCCGAGTGAGCCAATGCCGTAGCTGTAGTAGGCTGGAGCGGCGTGAGCAATGCCGTAGGTAGCAATGGCTGGGGTGGCGTGGGCGACACTGTAAGTAGCCACGGCGGGAGCAGCGTGGGCAACGGTGGCAACAGCTGGAGCAGCGTGGTGGACAGTGGTCACTGCTGGGGCAGCAGCGTAGGTGGCGATAGCTGGGGCCGCAGCGACGACTGGGGTGGACTGCACAACCTTCGTCACGGTTGGGGCGGCGTAGGTGGCAACGCGAGTGACAGCTGGAGCAGCAGCATAGGTGACAGCTGGAGCCGCAGCGACAACTGGAGCAGATTGGACAACCTTGGTAACGGTAGGAGCAGCGTAGGTGGCAACGCGAGTGACGGCTGGTGCCACTGCGTAGGTGACAGCTGGGGTGGACTGAACAACCCGGGTCACGGCTGGGGCAGCAGCGTAGGTAACAGCTGGGGTGGCCTGAACAACCTTGGTGACAGCTGGGGCAGCAGCGAAGGTGGCGACAGCTGGGGCGGCGTGGACAGCAGTCACGGCTGGAGCGGCGTGAACAGCGGTCACGGTTGGAGCAGCTTGGTAGGTGGAGATTGTGCGGGTGACAGCTGGGGCAGCGACAGCATAGCTGGTGGCTGGAGCGGCATAGCCGAATCCGTAGCCAACGCCGTAACCGGTCAAGCCAGAGTACCCAACAGCCGTGCGACAGACCATAGTGAGATAGGCCGAGGCCACCATAGCCGAGGCCAGCATAACCGAGGTTGCCAGTAGCCAACGCCGTAGCCAAGGTTGCTGGCAAGGGTGTAACCTCCAACACCCTGGCTAATGTGGCCAGCGAAGGCGCTGGTGGCCAAGGCAAAAACGATGCAGGCGCGCAGCTGAAAGAAAAATCAGTTGTGAAATATGTGTATTTATGTAGCAGTTTATGTTCATTTATTCATTGATTATTTCCACTGTAAAATTTCTTATACAATGACAGGGGCCAAAAAAAGCTGCTCTTGGCAGCTTGAGGAGTGCATATGAATTACGCATGTTAATAATGCGTAATCCATCATCTTTATCATCATCATCATCAGCCTGACTACGTCCACTGCAGGACAAAGGCCTCTCCCATGTTCCGCCAGTTAACGCGGTCCTGTGCTTGCTGCTGCCAATTCATACCCGCACACTTCTTAATCACATCTGCCACCTAACTTTCTGTCTCCCCCTAACCCGCTTGCCCGTAATTCATATGCAACTATAAATCATAAGAGTCTGGCCACCATGCTGATGTAGTGATTACGGTGCACGGCTGGTAATCAAAAGACCCTGTGTTTCATAGCGGCTGCGTCAGTCGCATTCAGATGTAGGCGAAAAGAGGCCCATGTGCTGTTCGATGTCTGTGAACATTAGAGAACACCGGATAATCTGAATCTCCCGGAGTGGACTGCTTAACTTTTGTTTCTTAATCATGTGGTAGCTTCACCACGTTAAAACTAGACATTGATATTCAAACATAAAAGTCTGGAATTGTTGAATTGACCTAAACGTTGGAGAAAGATTGGTGCAATAATTTATAGAATATTTGAGTGTTAGAATTATGGCTATACATAATTAAGTTATTAGTTATTGATAACAATGTTCTGAAAGTGCGTGTGTTGCATTATCTGATATCTATAGCGTGATACAATCGTAGTGGTTCTTAGTTCATCGAGGATTTCGCAAGCAAGTCAAATAGAGCATGCGGTCACTTACCATGGTGATGGCCTTTGTGTGATCGAGGAGCAGAAGCGTCTGATCTGTGCTGGGGATGAGTGAGCTTTTATACCTCAGGTTGATGCGGAACATGCAAAAACTGGCCTTCACGAGGGGAGAGGGAAATATTAATGTTTCTAGGTTTACTAAATGATCTCCGCCAATGCTGCAACGGCTGGCGTTTTTGGCCACTGAACCACCATTGATCACAAAGTTTTTTTGTAATGCATTTCTGTTTGCTTGAAAAACTGAACTGGTTTTAATGACACGCGCAGTGGAGATATGCTCAATTAAACATTCAATTCTCGTTTTACTGGTAGTATGGGGAAAAGAATAGGAAAGAAGAGGGTGGGGCTCGTTTTGGAGTGCAGAGTCAGTTTTTAATGTTGCCGAGTGATCGTGTGCCGCATTTTAATTTTACATAGTTCTGCCAATGCTGGAACGAATAAGTATTGCAGACGTTGCTGCATCTGCACGTAGGTGTTTGCTTGATAAGGATGCATGATTCGCCCAACCTAATAATTTACTTATCAGTCAAACAAAGTATATGACCCCTGGATACCTATCACGCCTGTATATCTTGTTAAATTGCTTCTCTTAACATTCAAATGCCTTTAGAGCGTAAAAAAGCAATAACGTACTGGTTATTTCTCTTTTTTTAATAGAACACGCAAAGGCAAAAAAGAAGTGCTGAGAGCCCGCAAAATGTAGCTTGACTGTGACCGCTACTTCCCTATGTCTTGGTGAAGCGTAATAAATAAGTGATAATATGAAATATCTTCAATGACTCTAAAGTTCAATATGAAGCTATACATATGTCCATACGACATGACGTTTGTGCTGAACTGTATCTCCACCTTCAACACGTGATTAAATAAACTTGCTGTGTTGAACGAATGTATTGACTGTTTTTCCCCCAGCTGAACTAGAATCGGCTGTGCCCAAACCTGCAAACTGCCCTCACCATCTCCACCACCTGTTTGTGTGATTAATGAGAGGGCAAAAAGATGAAACGGGGATAGGCAGGAGCTTAGGCAGGAATTTTTTCAAGGGAGGGCCACCTCTTTGGTTTTGAAAGGGGAGGAGGCACCCCCTTAAATTGGTGAATTTTCGCTCGGTAAGCCACGGAGGAAAAAATTCGCAGGAGGAAGGGAATGTAACCATGGGTTGGTGAATTGGGCATGGGCCCGATTTGCCAACCCCTGTTTACACCACAGGGGGGAGGGGGGTTCTCAACGTAGTCCTGTAATGCATCATTGAAGGCATATAACATACTTCAATATAAATAGGTGAATTACTAAATGAATCAAAGTTCTGCCGTACCAATCCTCAAGGAAGAGTGCGACTAAATGATATTTCTTGTTTCCTGTAATTTTTTTTATTTTCATCATTTGCGTTTGTTTCTAGTATCTCTTTTTTCTACCTGTCTTGTTCCATTTTTTTCTCTACCTATATTTTCTCGTGGTCATTCTTTGACTTTATTCTTGTGTCTCTCTTTCGCGTTTTCGTGTAGCGTACTGAGCTCCGACTGGCAGATTTTTTTTTTTGGTTTAAAGCTTGTACCTTCTCTTTTAGGCAGTGGGGCTTCCCTGACTCTACTGGCGCATACGAACCTCGGGTTTTTGTATGAGCGCAGATCACCGATAGCTTATACGGTATCGCTGTTAGGGCAACTTCACATACGAAGAGAAAGAGCCAGAGGAGTCAGAGTGGCTAGGTCGAAACCAGAACTTACCGACACTTCTGTGAAGGCACCCCTAAATATTTGGCTAGATCGCAGTCATTCGCTTAGGTTTAGGACGAAATATGGGGCAATAAAATATTTTAGCTTAATTTAGGGTAATTTTGATGGTAACCTAGGGTATTGTCTGAAAATTGTTGACAACACTGTAGATGCCTTGCCCGAAGGTTACCCAGCACAGGCTGAATATTGGCGTTGATGGAAGATATCCCGGAGATCCCTTCATCACCGTCCCTCAGTCGGATATGTGTGCCCACGTATATCTATGCCCCACGTGAATGATCGAAAGCGTTTCATGACGTACGCGTCAAGCATCTCATGAAGTGGATACAATGCAGCGTTCATCTTGTCTGTTTTGCACTAATGTGCTCCTAAGTAAACTTTTATGTTTCACGTCAAGGAGACAACCAGGAGAGCGCCCTGATCTAAGGGTGCTATCTATCTATCTATCTATCTATCTATCTATCTATCTATCTATCTATCTATCTATCTATCTATCTATCTATCTATCTATCTATCTATCTATCTATCTATCTATCTATCTATCTATCCATTTATCTATCTTTCTATCTGTCTATCTTTTCGTACCGTTCGCGTTTCTTTGCATCGCAATAGTATGCCGTTACAAATCTACTAAACCTACGCGGCGCGTGCATCCACGTGTGAGTTGTAATATGTCTTATTATTGGCATGCGGCCTGTGAAAGAGTGCGGCAATGATTTGGTGCCCCATACTACAGGCATACTGCACGCGAATCGCTGCTGTAAAGCGAAGCAGCTGGTGTCACGCTTTAATAAACGCAATAATATACTTGTACACTTTTACTGCGCTCGTAGCTTTTCCTGCCGATTATGATTATATTCACTAAAGGCAAAGACTGGCGTTTTGCTTTGCAGATGAAAAACTGTGCAGTCGGAAAGCACTGCATCAGTACGATTGCGGCATCGCGTTGTGATCTTCGCAGACAGTGCTGAGTAATAAATAACACTTGCGCTGCTTGTTGGCACATCCAAAGACGGCACCTCATACCCAGATGACTTCCTATAAGCGATAGCAGCGTGAACAGGTGCTTTTTTCCACTTTGAAATTCCTGCTTGCCGTACAAGCGATGCACGCAAAGACAGTTCAAAACAAATTATGGTGTCTATGGGAGTGAAAACATACTACAGAAGGCGCCTGGATATGAAATTAGCGTGCTCTCGTCTTTACTTTAGGCTGCAATAATTATAGACTAACGACCAACAACAGTCACCTGGAAGCCATGTTCTTCGGTTTGACATTTTCTTAGAAACACAGAATTTAGTCTGTGTTCGAGAGGTATTCATGTAGTAAATTATTATTCCTGGTGTTTCATATAGAGTGTCTGTATTTACAAAGAAAAATATGCAGAAAACGAAGCCGTCCTTGTAAGTCATTCTGCATGCACATATGTGTATGTAACATGCGGGCGAGACAAATAGCCAAATACTTTGCACAGAACAGTTTATTGTGCTGCCACAACCAATATACCTGATTGAAGCGTCGAAACAAGCTGCTCCGTTGCTTTGCACATTTAGCAGAATACCCCGGTAGGGAAAATTCGAATTTCTGCAGGAAGAAAACAAATAAAGTATCTTTGTTACTACTCGGAAATACTCGGCCGCATATATATAGAATGAATGAAGTGATCAAAAGAAACCGAAACTTACACTTCTTCTTGCGGAGGAGGGTGGCGTAGTTCAGAGGAGAGCCAAGACCATAGCCGTAGTTCAGGCCGTAGCCGAGAAGACCGTGGCCGTAACCATAGCTGCCAGCGCCGTAGCCGAGGGAGCCAATGCCATAGCCGTAGTAGGCTGGGGCGGCGTGGGCAACACCGTAGGTAGCGATAGCTGGGGCGGCGTGGGCGACGCTGTAGGTGGCGACAGCTGGGGCAGCAGTGGGCGATGGTAGCGACAGCTGGGGCAGCGTGGACGGCAGCAACAGCTGGAGCAGCGTGAACGGTAGCGACAGCTGGAGCAGCATGGACAGCGGTCACGGCTGGGGCAGCGGCGTAGGTGGCGACAGCTGGGGCAGAAGCGACCTACATGAGCGGTCTGCTGGACAACCCTGGTGACAGCTGGGGCGCTGTAGGCGACACGAGTAACAGCTGGGGCAGCGGCGACAACTGGAGCCGACTGAACAACCCTGGTGACAGCTGGGGCAGCAGCGTAAGTGACGGCTGGGGCAGCTGCAACGACAGGAGCTGACTGCACCACCCTGGTGACAGCTGGAGCAGCGGCGTAGGTTGCAACAGCTGGAGCGGCGTGGACAGCAGTAACGGCTGGAGCAGCGTGAACAGCGGTCACGGCGGGAGCAGCGTGGACGGTGGTAACAGCTGGAGCAGCGTGGACAGCGGTAACAGCAGGGGCAGCGTGGACGGCATAGCTAGCAGCTGGGGCGTATCCGTATCCGTAGCCAGCACCGAAGCCGGTCAGGCCAGAGTAGCCGACTCCGTGGGAAAGGCCGTAATGGGAGAGACCAAGACCACCATAGCCAAGACCGGAATAGCCGAGGCTGCCGTAGCCAAGACCGTAGCCGAGAGTGCTGGCTTGGGTGTAGGTACCCACAGGGTGAGCATTGATGGCACTGATGGCCAGAGCAAGCACGACACAGGCACGCAGCTGGAAGAAGAGCCAGATAGGTTTGAAATAATTTGCATAAGGGATCCTAGGTGTCCAGATTATTGATGGATATGTGGGGTTTGACGTCCCAAAACCACCATATTATTTTGAGAGACGAATTGTGCCTAGACGTAATATATGTTTGTTGTTACGGGGCGGAGATTATGCAGCAATGTTTAGGTGCAAACGAAAGCGTTTGATTGAGAATTATGAAATGTATGTTTACACATTTTAAAGAATGGCTTATTAGTTGTAGGTTGTGAAAGCACTGTGGCCAGAAATAAAGACGTTTGTGGGAAATATTTTAGGATGAGATAGAGGGAACAGATGCCAGGCTAAGTACATGTGACAAAACCAGCATGAACAAAGTGGTCAAGGAAACGACAACTAGGTATGTTAATTTATCACACGTTTCTTAGTGTAGCAGTAAATGATTTTGATGTAGTCGAACTAAACTCGAAATTTCTGCTGGTGGCATACTCTGCTGCTTCAGCTTCATCATATTTAGTAGACTTCAAAAAGTTCTCAATAGGGATTGTTGTCACCAGAAACAATCGTATGGAATTCATGATCCTTCAAAAAAATATATCATCTGTTCGCGGTTCCAGTTTTACGTTTTCCATCAGTGGCATGCGCAAGGTGTACGTCATATAACGTATAATTGTGTCTACGCGATTTCCCAAGTTGAGCAAAACTAGAACACGCACAATGGTGGGTCGAGTTCAATGACAAACTTATTATGAATATATAGTGTGATAATTTCTATATAAGTCATTACGAGCATTATCACAACGGTAACTGATAATTCAGGCTTTCAGAACATCGGTGGACAAAATGATTGAAAATTTGCCCCTTCAAGCCAATGTTTGTTATGTCTTCCAGTATTGATTTTGTTTACCTTTGTTTAGCGTCTTTAAATGATTTGTAATAGTTGCTTCGAAAGAGTAGCAAATCAGTGGTGCTTTGCTTAAAGTGCCTGTTTCAATGGGCATCTTAAAACGCCTCGCCGACTAGGCAGTGTGAGCTTTTAGAAGTGTGTCTAATACAAGCCAAATAAGCTTGTCCTCAACAAAGCATAGGTTTTCAAAAACAACGTTTCAAAATGAGCTGGGAAGTGTGCAGAGTAGGGATACATGCCTTAGAAGCCGTGGCTAATATATATAGTCATCTACTGTTCTCTATTGCACGAGAGTTTAGCGTTCACTTAAACGCAGACTTACCATTTTGACGGTGATCCTAATTCGTTGGAGGAGCAGATGCTTCTGATTTTGAGGCCAGAAACTCAGCTTTTATACCGCACGGTTGACTTCTGAAAAAAAAAATTAAACCAGCTTTTACCATGCGTGTGAGACTGGTTACCATTCTTCTTTTTTGAATAACTATTTCTTTCTAAACCAGCAACCGAAGAACAAGTTCGTGTTACAAGAGGCGAAGAAGATTTAAAAAAATTTATTTTCACCGTTGTCCTTGTTCTTCACTTCTAGTTGGGCGTTGGAAGTAAACGTTCTTCTTAATACCTCGCGTTGCACGTAGAACGCACGCGTCCGCCACTAATCTGAAAGAAAAGACTGAAAAAGTAACTAGTATGTCGTAGACCAGTATCAAATTAACATTCAGTGCGACACTTCGCGCCGAGCAGTCCGATACAGCACTGAAGTAGCACTGCTGAGAGAGACAGGCGATGTCGCCGCATAACCGGATGCGCTCTGGTATAGGTCCACTGTACAGCGGTTATCATTTTTCATTTGTCCGCGAGGCTAGAATGAAAATGGTTTATTTCTTGATATTCGATCGTTTAGAGAATACAGCCCAGTTTTGGTATATTGAAGAGGTCTAACTAACATTAAGCATTTTCTTCATAAAATAGTCCGAGTGATTCAATATATGCCATTTATTTGTGTGATGACGTACATAGCTGAGCTTGCAGGGCATGATTACTCGCTTATGAGCAACCTAGTTTGTGCAAGGTTCACGAATTTTGTAAGAATAAGCATAATTGAAGTAGAAGCACGGGAACGTGACGATTGATATCTCAGTTTGTACACGTATCAAAAATGAGTTAACACCATAAACACGGGACGAGGAAAGAAAGTAGCACTCCGAAATGAGAAAAAGTAAGGGGTGTTTTAGCTTTAATAATGTGAAAACTGGGGACACAGTTTTCGATGTATTAGCCTATGCGAGAAGTCTTTAGGTGGTGCGCCACCCAGTCTATTCGCCATACGGACTGCCACTTGAACGTTTCATTTCAACTACCGCTTTCTCGAATACGAATAAGATAATATACAGAATCAAGAAAGAGAGGTAATTAGTTGAGTCAGATGTAAATGTATTTTTTACAAGAGTGCAAAAATGAGGCATACTCACTGTGAAAATGAACAGCACAATTGTAATCGTGTATTTACTTCTCCGAGACAGGGCCACGTTCTGCAGCCGTTCCCATGGCGTGCTTATACAATTGATTGTTGGTATGCGCACCCAACACTTCCACATTATTCGAAGTGTGATTGTCGCTTGTACTACAACACACTTTAATTGAAACTTGCTTGAACGACGCAGGCTATCTAAAATCGGAAATGCCTCATCAGCCATTGCTGGCTAGGCAGAGATTGGGCAAACTGCATAGCTCAGTGCAAGTACCGAGAGTTGCTTTCGATTATCCATTATTACCACCCGCCTTTGCCTCGTATTTTATGTTTTTGACAGTAGTTCATTTAAAAATCTCATGCAGTTGAGCCTCGATGTAAGAAACTTCAATATGACATAATATTCGGTAAAACGAAGCATTTCAATTTACTCAAAGCTTACCCGTATAGTCATGCATGATAAATATGACAGAGTCTTTTCACTCAATTTCCATATAAAGAAGATTCCACGAGAAAGAGACCGTGGCGATAAATTGGAAGGTCTGTCGGGGCCAGTGGTCGTAAGGTTGAGTTACACGTGCATTTTGTGAACGCCTGCTTTGTATTACGACACTGCAGTGAACCTGCCTTTCTGACGGGATGAGGTGACCCCTCGACCGTCCTGAAGAGGAAGTCTCCGCTAGAGGAGCATGAAACTGCAATCTCTGGGCATCAATTTAATGAAAATTTGGGTTTTCCGGTATTCAAACTAGTTTCCTGTGCAGACATATTAGTGAAATATTTTTACCGCACTTCTTGAGCAAGCAAATGAATCTTCTCTTGGAAGTACTCATGTTGAAAGGTCGAGTTTCAATTGACAGGAAACCCAAATATAGTGGTGTATATTCCCACTATTGGTTTTGTTATACTGGAGTATAAATGAGCCGAATTACGGATGACTTCTTAACAACCATCACGCGACGGCTTTACCAATCCTCAATTACCTGATCGGTAACATTCTTTTGCAATCAAACCTTTTATCCCCCATGTCCTTGCGTCTGTTATTTGCGCACATGAAAGTGTGGCAGTTTTACATTTTTTTCTATCCTGATATGTTTGCTGCCGCTGCCTGCATTGTAAGGTGGCTGCAGGCTTCTGTCACACAACTTGTACCTGAAGTGACGTGCGCTGTCCTTCATGTTTGGTAGAAATAGGCTTTTTATCACCATCATGTAGTTCTTCCTCTTCTTCATCGTAGTGATAGTATGTATTATTATATAATTTCTACGTACGTGACATGTCAGTGATGAGAAGACGACAACGAAGAAGTGAGAACGTCTTTCTATTGTGCGTGTCGTCCTCCTTCTTAGTCTATCGACATGAACGTGTATTGCACCCGATGCACTAGCGATTGAAATTAGGCCCGACTGGAATCAATTTCTCAGCAGTGATTGGCGCCATTCTTCAGCTAGTGTAACAAAGCCAATCACATTAAGCCTAATCGTGACTGAAAGTGCCCGTGTGACAGAGCTTTAAGTTATAGCTCTCTAAATGTTGAAATGGCATCAATTACGCTACACAAACACGAACGGCCCATGGGTTGCCTCTTCTCGCGCTTGATCTTCACAAGCCACAACATATTGTAGCCATTTCGGGAGTGGTTTGTGCACTGTGGCACGCTACACCCAGGCATTTTGCCCAAGAAAACGCCGAATCACGTATCTCACTCAGCCAGCCTTGACAAGACGGGGGGAGGGGGGCGAGCCTAATGGCGGCCGCCGATCGTAAGGCGGCACTCACCCCTTCAAAGAGTGGCTCCACTCTCCAAGGGGGCGCGCGCGTCGAGGAACCCCATACAACGCTATCCATAATAATGGTGATAGAGAACATCGCGTTCCAGTGCGGCGGCACCTACCACTCAGTGGCTGTTATCTCTAAACGCGGCTTATCCACGGGGCACGTGTGCGCCACGAAGCACAAATGACTTTGCTGAGGTTGGTAGTACCCCCGCAAACTTAAATTCGAGATATACGGCTGTAGAGTCAACGTAATGGTTGGTGGTGCCTTCGGATAAGTCTGGCGCCATTAGCGAGGATTCAATGTGTCGTGAATACCACCGTTTTTTTCAGTGCCAGAAAATAGCAGCGAGGTTTTGGGTGATGTCTTACCGTGGGGGTGAGTTCCTGAGTCAATAGGAGTGCATTCACCATGTGTATAGTTTCATATCACAAAGCAAGGGTGCTGCAATGAAAGCCGGTGTATACTTTCCCTAATGTACCGCATGTGTCGTTGTCGCAAGTTCTTATATCAGACAATGACAAAAACCGACAAGGCTCTTCTGATGTGGCATATACAGCAGAGGAGCTAGGTTAGAAATCGCGTTTTGGTACATCGTCACTGATATGCTGTTTTGACAAAACATGAAGTGCAGCAAGCATTTGAAATAATTATGAGTTTACTTTAGGCTGTGTGGGATAAGAAAACCTATTACTGGAACAGAATTATTCTTATTTTTTGTCTGCCATACGCTGCTGATTCATCAAGGAATCTTCTGTACATAGGGAGCAAATCTTGATATGCGGCATGGCCATTAAGGAGGCTGCCCCCCCCCCCTGTAATACAACAGGCGCTATAAGAAATGCTTACACACACTACACACACACACACACACACACACCACACACACACACACACACACACACACACATATATATATATATATATATATATATATATATATAATATATATATATATATATATATATATATATATATATATATATATATATATATATATATAACATTGTTGCTCTACTCATTCACTTTGCTTATACGTCTATTTTTGCGAGATTTTGTAGTCACACAAATGTCTATGAGCATGTGATGTTAGTAAATTTTCCAGTGTGGTCATGCAACAGTAACATAGCTAGCCCCCACGATCTACTCCGCAACGACACTGAAACACCTGAGCACCTGTTAAAACACGTCGACTTAAACGTGATGCTTGCGATGCTGTACTTGTGAATAATTTATTGGGTATCTATTAAAGGGTGCTTATCATTGTTCGAGAGCATGAGATGTGCACTGTTTTACATAGTGTACACTAAAATAACACTTAAATCCAACGCAAGCTGCTTTGGTTTGGTTGCATTGTGTGGCACTGTCAAGGGCGTGGGCACGATTTTTTTTTCTTGATGGGAGGGGTGTGGGTGCCCTCCTGGATCTCCATTGAAGGCAGGGCACGGCAATAGTTATTTTGCGATCTAGAAGTCTTAGCGCAAAAAAAAAAGTAGGGGGCGCGGGGGCACGCGCCTCGTGCGACAACCCCTGGATACGCCGCTGCGGCTCTGCTGAACTCTACGAGGCAGGTCCCATTGAAAAGTAGGGTGGCTGCATGTCTAAGTGTTAAAAATATATCAAGTGATAAAAATTCGGGGACTGTGGCGTGATTGTTTTCGGTTGTTTGCCTTTTTGGCAAGCGGTTGTCACGTGGATTTCATCGCCTCTTTTCATCATGCTATCTTCTGTTGTTTCGATGCGTGCCTACAAAAACGCCCTGCGTTTGAAATAGTAAATCAGTTGTGAGTACAACGCTAAGTGTGTGTATGTCTTTTCTAAGAGTTCTGTCTTTTTTGCGCTGATAAATTAGTCTACATAATCATGAACCAACTCGTCCAAGCAACACTTTTATATACCCTTAAGCTTCGCCACTAAGAGTTGAATGCGATAGCAATATTGTTGAATGTGAGAACAATATTCGGTTCCTAGTGCGTACTTCAATCACTTCGTGTGTAAAATCTCTTCAAACTTGCTATGAACTTACTGCGTAGCCTTAAGGGTGGAGTAGCACGTGTGCCTCTTGTAGCTGTTGACTGGCTTACGAAAATATGAAGTAATTTTGCTCATCCCATCTTCTGACGCTCGATGGTAATGTA